AGTTTACTGACTAAAATAACCTCCTAAAATTTGCTTAATTACACCCCATCAACTACTCAGTCCCGACGCCCTTCTTCTCCCTCGGCAACTATTAAAGTTCGGCGACGTCCTCCCCTTATCATCTTCATCCTCCTATGAGATTCCGTCAGCAACCTTCTTCTCCAGCAATATCCTCCCCTGTCATCACCATCCTTCATCGCGAGTCCATTAACTCCGTCCTCTGCCGCATTTTGTCAGCAACCTTCTTCCTCGGCAAGTCGTCTCTCCGTCATCTCCCTCCCTTCCTTGCGATTCCGTCATCTCTATTCCCGATGTTAAAACTAGATTTGGCGAGCATGAAGATGTCCAAATCTGCAAGCGACACTCTCCTCCTGCAGGATGGTTGATCTGTTCGAAAAAGCATGAATTTAATTTCAATTTGGTTTCCTTATTTCCTTTGTGCTCGAATCTGGATATTTCTTCTTCATCTTGATTGCTTCTTTGGATTAAAGATGGATTTCAATGTGATATTTAATATGTGTTTGATTCTTCGTATTCGATTTTCCATCTTCATGTTCGATCAAGGCCGCAGTCGCAGCAACAATGGAATATGTGGGCAATTTTGTCTTTTAGCTAATTTTTGTTAGATATCGGCCTTGTTGGGTTTTTTTTAATCCCACGTCACACCAAACACGATTTTAAAAATAAATCCCATTCCCAATCCCATGCCCAGTGCCATTTCCAATCCCATGCCCAGTGCCCCAAAATTCAGTAACTCATACCAAACGGGACCTTAAAGTTCCAAAATCACTTTTCAACCCATTGTTCTTTGATTTCATTGTTGGCTCTAGCAATGACTCGCTCTGTTTTGAAAATCTATTTAAAATATTTCCTTATTCCTTTTTATTGGGAAAACTAGCAGTTAATTAAAGAGGTCAGGAAGGTGCTCCCGAACTTGGGATTCTTTTTTGTTGTTATTACTATCTAGGATTTGGATTCAGCCCAATTTGTATTTTATTAAATTATATTTGGTTTATGCATGAATATTTCATTTTATTATTCGTGGATTAACATCTTTTTATTTAATATTCTTTTTATTACTCGTTTTGAAATTCTATATCAAATTTTTTGCATAATTTCAGATTCCATGGATTCTTGTTGCCCAATAAGTCATTTTACATGGAATTTACATATTAAGATCAGGATTTAGATGCAAACCAAATCTATTATTTGGATACATAAAATTTTATACGTTTATATTTGATCCCAATCCAGTCAAATCTTTTTAATTAGAATTCCTTTACAATTTCGAATACTTAATCCATCGTAATTATTTCAAATCTCAACCGGCCTCTTTTAATAAATACCCAAATATTTGGAGCAGTCACCCAAGTCGGATCTAAAAGGAAAGAGTTGGCAACCACAAGATAAGTGGAGTGGCATTTTCAATTATAGATATTGCAGTGATTCTCAATTCTCAAGCATATGCTTGCATTCTTTCGTTTATTTTTTTCCCCCTTGAAACAAAAAAAGTAGGGATACATTAATATACTTTAAAATGCATCTTATTATTTAAACTTCGAGAGAAATATTGTTTTCTTCCACATATATATACCCCTAAACGCTCTTTTCTTGGAATTCTTATTCCAAGTTCCCAATGGCGAGCACAGTGTGAAGCAGTTGTTCACCGAAGAACACTGTTGAGAGGATATCTCCAGTGACTTAGAACCATAATACGAATGCTATTGTTTTGTATATATTAGATACTAGTTCTGATAGTTACGATTAGATGTTATAGGACTTTAAATTCTGCAGATATCTTTAGATTACACACAGTCGTAACTAATGTGGGAGGATTAATGAAGTCAGTAAATTACTTTAAAATATTTCTACAAAAAAATTACTTTAAAATATTCATACTTATTGTTTTTCTCTCAACTACTTTGTCCCTCACTTATAAATTGATATATAAGTAATTTTATCAACTTATTTTTACAACAATATAATTTCAAATTTCAATTGTAAGTGAATGGAGACATATATAAAAGAACTTGTACCTCTCATCTAAAACTCACACCTTTAAGCTTATTTTTCCCATTCTCTCAAGTTCTAACCTTTCTTCCAAGCGTGGCAAGGAAAAAATACACTTCTTCCAAGCATTAAAGAAGTTCGAGTTCTTGATGTTAAAATTCCAAACATACTAAGATATTGAACTATACTTTTTATTCTTTCAATGTTAATAAAAGTGCACCCAACACCTTATCTTATTTTTCCTGTGCACTTAACATTAGATTTTTTTAGTGGTATAATTTTATTCATGATTTATTAATTAAATTTGGTGTAATCTCACCCATTTTTTTAATTTTCCTGATATGATTATAATTTGGTTTCTTTGCATAAAAATTTAGGAAAATTTGGTTAAAAAATTCCTATTTGATAATTTAATTGGTTAAAATGATCTGAATGTGAATGAGTATAACCATTATATGTTAGTACAATATATCTTCGACTGTGTGTAATATATCTTTCACCGTGTGCAAATAACTTTCATATTGATGATATGTTGTTCACAACAAAAGATATATCACACTCACGGATCATAGTTACAGTTGCTCACATTCAAGTCTTTTTAGCCATTTGAAATGAAACTTTTTTGCCAATTTTTCCTAAAAATTATTATAATTTGATAAAAGAGAATTTTGAGTTAGATTAACGGTAATAGGTAAAAATACTCGTGGCTTTTTTCCTTTTTTAGTTAAGACTTTTTTGGTTAAAAAATAATGACTGTCGTTGACGAGGTGGGATTTGAGCACTACAGAATTCTTGATGATTGTTATGGATTTGGGTTCAGTCCTCTCAATAATGATTACAAGTTAGTGAGAATTAATGAATATAATCATTATCATATTAAAGCCCTGGAAGTTTATTCATTGAATTCTGGGTCATGGAAGCAAATACACTTTGGAAACAACTTAAGGGGCATATCTACAAGATATAGATATATCACTATTAATGGAGTTATTTATGTTTTGGAAAGCTATGTGGTGCGGTGAATGAGTATCTAATACTTCCAATTGACCTATCAAAGGAGGAAGTGTGTAAGTCGATACCAACGCCTCACATATACGGTTTTGCTCGTGCAAGCCTTATTGAGTATGAGAACAAACTTGCTGTGGGTGCTTGCGTTCCTGAAAATGATGGATCTTATTTGATTCATTGGTGGGTGTGAGAGGAGGAGACATGCCTATCTGAGGATGAGGACGACGACGAGGAGAGATGTGGATGGACTAAAATATATAGTAGCAGCCCTTCTCCATGGGGGACGTTAAATCCCGTGACTATTTGGATGAATGAGATTGTCTTGCTACCTTTTGATGAGTTTAAGAATGATGGTCAAACAACAATTTTATATCTGCTCAATCTCACTACTAATGAGTTTAAGAGGCTTCCCGTTAGCTCTCACTCTTCCGTTTTTGACCGAATAAGGAAAAGAAGACCTGTCTCTTACTCCAAAAGGGACATTGAGACTGTGATTTTCAATTACGTGGAAAGCTTTGTGTTAATAAATCGGCACCATTGACATTGAAGATTTTGATCCTGCATTCGAATTGCAAGTTTACTTTAATCAAACACTTCTAGTGGAAATTCATTCATAGTAGATCATATCATGATTTATTTCTAGTTTTTAAATCCTTCTTCAAAGTTATGAGTGGAATGATAATTTCTATAAACGTTGTGTTGTAATCTGTCCTTTGCAATTTCTGTTGTTTAGTGTTTTTTTAATTCTTACTATTGTTTTATAACTTTTGAGGTATTATTACTTGGTCTGGTAACATGGTAATTACAGAATTGGTCCCCAAAAAAAAAACATCGTAACTAGGGGAAACAACAGGATATGAGCACTGATTTATAATTTGGTGGCCAAAAAATAGGATTAATATATGAATTCGCGCGCATCAATTAAACGGCCTATTTTTTCCCCCCTTTCTTTTTCTTGTTCTCCATTGATATAAGAAGATTTTGCACCATGTGGGGTAACAAAAGTGAACTAGAGATTTAGGTATATACTCCTCCGGTCCTTAATATAAGACCTATTTAACTAATTTAATTAGATTAAAAAATTTAAATAAGTTAGTTAATTATAAGAAAAGTGACACATTTTTCCTAAAACACCATAATAATATTTCTTAATACTCCTTCTCCCTCTTTTACTTGATTATGGCTGAAGGAGTATCCATAAGGGTAATTTAGAGAAAATTGATAAATATGAGAAATGGGTTTTATATTTAGAACTAAAACCAATTCAAAAATCGGGTCCTATATTAAAGATCGGAGGAGTATATTATTTTCTCAATTATAATACGATTTGCCCGGCAAGGGACTTTTACTTTACTATTTCGATTAATTAAAATATTCTAAGCTCTTTTACTTGATAGGAGTTTCATCTCATTCATTTTTCAATAAGCTATAGTCATTTCATTATATCATCAATTTTTATATGGAACATATTTAATTCCAGCATCTTCAGTCCAAAAGGGAAAAATTCCAGCATTCCACGAAAATAATCAAAAAATTACCGTAAAAACCAAATCAAATTCAAAATCTAAGCAAACAAGACTATTTTTATCTGGAAAAAATCCTAATTAAATCCGCTTGAAATATTCAAACTCATATTAAGGCCTGCACTTTTAACAAATTTCTAATTAGGCTAAGAGGCCTGATTAAGGTTTTTTCTAATATTGTTAAAAGACTAAAATGCCCTTTCATAATTTAAAACAATATTGTTTTAGGAACAAAAAATTAAACCATGAAAATTTATATTAGTTTCTATTTATAAAAAACATTTTACATTGAAAATTTTGGAAATACTAAGAGCAAAAAATTGATAATGCATAATATAATATTTTATGCTAACTCTAATATATTGATAAGAAATTTATGGGAATAAGGACTTTTCTTTTTGCAAGAGGAACAAGGACCTTTTAATTACTTGATTCCAATGCTATTAGATCAACTTAATTTGGTCAAGTATACGCGCTTCATGGATCAACAATTCAGTAATGAGATTGCAAGTAGCAGCGATGTAAGAAATTTACCACAGCTCCAGTGTCCATGTGACTAACATCAGCCGTGACACCAGGGGCGTTTACAACATCGTAAAGATGAAGAACTGAAACTAGTGGGTTCATCTTCATCAGCAAAGCAAGGGGTTGGCCAATTCCCCCAGCAGCACCTAAGATAGCAACTCTGAATCCAGGGGACCCACCTTTCGCTCTGCAGTCAACTCTCTTCAGATGAACATCACCTCCTTCCTATCAAATTCAATATGCAAATAGCATATCAAATTCACATGATAACGCAACAATTTTCGAAAACGATGTTATAACGAACCATTACGATAGATTTAGATTTCGTTCTAGGCGTTGCTAAATTGAGAATTAAAGCTTCGAATTTTCTCATTTGGTTGTGTGAATTGTCCGAGTTTGAATTTCAGTCCAAATTACCAAAATCGAAAATCAATCCGAGCTTTGAAGAATAAATTACCAGAAGAGGAGACAGGAATTGAAGCCAAAAAAAAGGGGGGGAAGAAACCTGGAAATTAGGAGGCAGAAGCTGATTCGTGATTGTTGCAATGCGGCGATTGGCCTGTGCATTAGCTTCCATTTCTCTGTTCTTCCAGCGAAAATACAGACAGGGATGGGGAGTTCCGGTGTAGAAGAGCTATATATGAATTGGGCTAAATAATAATATCATGAAACAAAACAAGAATAATCATGTTCGTTTCTTTTCTGTCGATAATCTCGTCTATGGCCATGCTTGAATTTTTTGTGGAATGGGATTTTCTGATCCATTATCCTATCTATCTCATGCCTCAAATGTAAGGCTCTCAGAATTTTATCGGACAACTTCACAAAACCTATTTTGTTTCACTGATCAAGACCACCATGTCTGCTAGTGTCTTGGTTTTTTTTTTTTTTTGGAAAAAAATAATAAACTCATAAATCATGATAACGTTTTTCCGGATGCATCCCTCCTGTTGTTTTTTTTTTTGGCCGGGAGATCTATCTCTCCTGTTTATAACTTGATTAAAATAACTTTTTAATTTAATTTTAAACAAATTGATGAGTAGATATAATAATTTAAATCTACATTTACAAATATAAAAACTTAACAAGTCAAACTATTCCTGAGGTATAAAAAATATAGTTTTTTTTTCTCATTAGAACCCTTTAAAAAATTCACACTAATTTTTTAATAATCCTATTATCTTGATACCTTGTCTCAAAGATTAAGTCAATTATTCTTACCCAAAAAAAAAAAGATTAAGTCAATTATTAATAATATAACTTGCTTAAAATTTAAATCCCATGCAAAGCATAAGGTCTTATATATAATCCAACTGATATCAACCATTTTTCTTAAGTCTATTTCAAGCATCATATCGTGAGTTCAAACTTTTAATACAGGATGTAATGAGTGCGTTAATTATGATAAAAAAAAAAATCCATGCAAAGGAAGGAAAAAAGAGTTTACATTAATAATAATTACATAATTATTATCATGACAAAAAATATTATCAATAGCTATGAGCGGGTGATGAATAGGGGATCCTAATAAAAAAAATTTAATTACTAAAAAATCCTAATAACAAATAAGCAGCAAAAATTAATTGTTATTTTTTATACGTGAATTTGTCGTTACATTCTCCTCCGTTGACTTTATGATAATTAAATGTCTTCTTTGGAGCTGATTGCAATTCCCCGTGAACATATGGGATCATATATTATCAAAATATGTGTGCGCCCGGAATCACTAGTATCATCAAAGGCACATACTCCTCCGGTCTTTAATATAAAATTTAATTAACTAATTTAATCATATTAAGAAAGTTAGGTAAGTTAGTTAGTTATAAGAAATATGACATATATTTCCTAAAATACTATAATTATCTTCTTTAATATCATTTCTCCCTCTTCTACTTGATTATGGTTGAGGGAATATCCATAAAAGTAATATAGAAAAAATTAATAAATATGAGAAATATGTTTTAATTTAGAACCAAAATCAACTTAATAATTAGGTCCTATATTAAGGACTGAAGGGGTGTCTCCTTCATTCAAAAAAAGCTATCTACCTCCTTTGGGCCCGAAAGTCCAAATGAATAGGAGGGCCCATTTCTATGGTAAATGGGGCGTCTTTTGATGGTTGATGCCTTCATAGTCACAAATCACAAGCATAGAAGCGTGACATAGGTTTATTCTTAGGTTTTGGGCCCAACAGGCTTCTTTATTATTCCTCTATTACCTATTTATACCGATTATAAGCAGATGGTGCTAGTTCTTGTGGCAAACAAATATTCGAATTTTTATTTTAGTATCCGACAATTCCTTTGAAAATAAGTGTGATTTTGTAGGAACAAGAACCAATGAACATAATTTTGTAAGTTGAAAATGCAAAGACATGGATCAACTCACATGTTTGACAATAATATATGAGACTCTTTTTAAGTATTTTATTGTGATCGATGGCCAAAAAAAGTATTTTATTGTAATGTTTTGTTTTTTGTCGAAGAACCCCTGTACTTTGTTTACTGTAATAAATGCTTTTACCATAATAGCCTTAATTAATGCTTAGTTAATGATCCAAAGTTAAATTTGCCGAAAAGTCATTACTTAAGAACTTAAGATGCTCTAGCTCATTAAATACTCATGATTCTATCTGTAAGATACTTTTAATATATTTTATACAGATTAAGAAAAATTTTAAACTATGTTAACTCTTCATTAAAATATAATAATTTTTTAACTTTACCCCTATTTAATACTCCTATATACATCTTTTAAAAAAACTATTTACATTATAATAAATAAAAGATAAAATAATACATTCAGGATAAAATTTTAATTAAGTGACTTATAAATAAGAGCAAGAAAAAACTTCTATCTCTACTTTATAAATAAGACTAGAAGAGTATATACTAAGGATATTTGTTGAAGAATAAGGCAAAGAATTGACAAGATTATTAATTACCCATAACTAATTTTCTTAATTCTTGTAAATTAGTTAAGAAAAAAAGGATTTTTACATACATACAATAGGAGAAAATGCTTGAATTCTAACATGAAAAGGCTAAAATATCCCTGGAATTAATTTTGGAAATTGCTTCTTGTACCTTCCAGTTCCGTTGGCTGTAATTCAAATGGAGTAGCAATTAATATTAATTTTTTGAGAGGACCCTTGCTTGTCGGCGCAGAGCCTCTCTATTGCAAATCCTATCCATTTAACCTCCATTTATATAAAACTCAGCGTTTTATAATTTAAATAGTATTGCAATCATGCCATGAACAAAAAAGGTAAAAAAATCAATCAACCATTTAAAAAAAAGGGTCTTCCTCTTCGGATGAAAAACTTCCAAAGACTCACCCCCTTCAAATTCTTTTTCCTGAGGTTCAAACTGAAAGTCCACTAGCTTCTGCAACATCCAGTTTCCAAAACAATGCTTGTCAATCTCAGGAGAAGCTTGTGTTTGTGTAATGGAGGAAATGACGTCACTGTAATGAGAAGCCTCTTCCTTTTTTTCCCCCCAAATGGTTGATTGTGTTTTTTTTTTTTTTGCCTTTATTTAAGATAAAATCGGAACCCCAAAAAACGCAGTCACTGTTTTAGGTGGGGGGGGGGGAATACAAGAAGCTGATTGGTGGAAAGAAAGAAACAACCTTGTTTTGGGTTAGTGGAGAGAATTGCTCAATGTAGAGGTTCCACACTACTTGTTAGAAGGGTTATTTGTTAACTGTTGCCGGTTAAAAAGAATTAGTCTCAAGTCCAATAATAATAATTTTTTGAAATTTATTTAGTAATTAATTAGTATCTTAATTAGTTAAATGAGTATGGTTCAATAGTCAACATTGGCAGCTGCTTTCTAAACGTGATGACCCATTGGTTATAAAATTTTATATTTTGTTTGTCTCTACTAGTGACAGTCTTCATCTTAATTAATTTTATATATGAGTGACATAAGTTTTGAATATATATATATATATATATATCGTGATTTATAACCCCTGCTCTTTGCAATGTGGCTAATGTATGCCGCTGGCATGAACTACAATAATACTTTATGTTAATTCTTCTTTTTGTTGCTTTGATGGGATATGTTTATTAATATTGTACATGATGCAATCTTTCTTACTAACCCATTAGCAAATTTAAATTTTCTTTATTTTGGACTCCAACATCTTGTAATCAAACCATGATTTGGATTGTTTTAATAATATTCCTCCAGTCCTAAATATAAAAACCATTTTTGTAGTATAATTTACACTATAAAAATGGGTCTTATATTTAGGACCGAAAGAGTATATTATTTTGGCAAAATTATATTACCAAAAATTTTCCTTAAAGCTTTTCTGAACGTAAGGTTGCGAGTTCGATTTCTCTGTGTAGAGTATGATGAGTGTGTTCTATTATATTAATTACAATTATTATTATGTTTCATCTGTTTTTTTTTATCATTATTTTCTCTATATTTGTTTAATTAACAAACAAGATATTTGATGTACATATGATTAGCTACATCTTTTAACAACATTAAAAAATTCTTAATAAGGCCCCTTGGCCTAATTAGGGATTTGTTAATAGTGTATGCCTTAATTTAAATTTTGATATTTCAATCAGATTTAATTAACTGGGATTCTCAGATAGTCCCTCACAACGTTGCAAACCCTCATAATGTTGGCATGTTACGAATCAAGATTCGATATTTAGTGCCCGTTCCTGTCTTGAATAAGAAAATGTTATGAAACTCATTTAAAATATAGAAATTTGAGTCAGATTTTAATAAAAAGAAGTTAACTATCGTAATAAATTATGGAACAATAATTACTTAAATCAAATAAATTTCGATGGAAATCTACCAAATATAGTAATGAATTAAAATTGAATAAATAAGGAAATTATTTTTAAATTAATCAACATTTAATGACAATCAATACAGAGTAAAATCAACGGTAATATGTCAAAATAATCATGACTTTTTTCCTTTTTCCCCAATAGTTTTGACTTTTTTCCGTCAAAATAATAATGACTTTCATTGCTGGATTTAGATATTTTATATATCTTTTTTTTAAAAAAATATAATCCTCAGTTCGGTTTAGTCTATCTAGATTTTTTTATTCTCAAATTGGAAACAAACAAATGAATTAGAAATATTATAAAAAAATAATAATATTATTCTCATTTCTCATTATTATCTTTCGATCACCTCTGTTATCTTATCCCTAATATTGATTTGATTGTTTTGTTGAAATCCTCTTTGGGTAGATCCAATCAAATAGCGATGGCAAAAAGAAAAAAAATCCGATAAAACTGGCAACCCCCTTGGGGAAGGGAATGTCCCCACTTCGCATTAGCCTAGAAACCGGTACAACAAAAGCCTTCGCCTTCCCCTGCAAAAGGAGTCACACCATCACAAGTTCAGAACCCCAGTCGGAGAACAGCCTTCCGATAGCCTAATATTGACGGCAACGGACATCTCTCCCCTGATATTCTTTTTCCAATGGCGGCCACTGTGACGATGCCGGAAATGGAAGCCCAGGCAGCCTTTATTCCCAAGGACATCATGGCTAACATTTTCAAAAGACTTTCGGTAAGATCCTTAACTCGCCTTCGATGTGTGTGCACACATTGGAAAAATCTGATAAATGATCTCATCAAGACTCCGTCTTTCATCGAAGATCACTTCAACTG